GGGTGGGGGCGGGGGTGGGGAGAGGTAAGGAAAGTTCCTACGTGGCACCGCCGCACATTCGGCGACCGGACCTGCTTGGAAGCCCGCGGCCCGGTCAGAACCCCGGGAGGGAGAGCGACCTCGCCTCCCTCCGCCCCCCCTCCTCTGCCCCCACCTTCCCGAAGGGGCGTCCGGCCGAGCGGCCCGCTGGGTGCTGCGGACGCGGCTGGCGGAGGCGCCTCGGAGGCCGGGGAGCCCGGCACGCCAGCGCGGAAAGCGGGCTCGGCCGGAGCGCGGGGAGGACGGGGTGGGAGCGAGGGCGGGGAGGGCAGGCGACGGGAGGAAAGATTGTCGGTCCCGCGGGCGCCGGCTTCGGCGGAAACCTGGGTCTGGCACAGGGCCTCGACGCCAAGGTCTGAGTTCCCTGGTGGGAGTCCGTCCTCCCGGAGGCCGAGCCCGGCTGCCAGGTGTCCGCCTTCCACTCGCGCAGGGGCTCTCGCCTGCCCGAGCAGAGGCGGCGCCGGATTGTTCCTCCGTGTGATTCCTCCCGGTGAATACGGCCGGAGCTCCACTGGGACCGTATCTGAATTTTGAGATGAGTTGTGTTAATTACGTTGAGTCATTCATTTTCACATTTTCGAGGATAAATAAGAAAGCCTTTGAAAGTGGGTCCATCTAAAAGTTCGCATTTTACCTTTGGTACCTGCTCACCGGTTGGATCGGTCAGTTCGGTCAGCAGTTCTGCCCTCTGCTGGTTTTATTTATTATTTGGAATTCAGGCTTCTGCCACAGTGCATGAGGCCTCTTAATGCCCCTCTAACTACAGTGATACTGGAAAAGGACACTTGATTAAGGAAGAATGGATATACCATTTCTTTTCCAGCACGTCACACACACACACACACAGACAAGAGTATTGTAATGGCAGCTATTTATTTAAAAATATAAAAACTGAGATTTTTTTTTTCAGTGACAGATGAAATATAAGCTCAAGTGACACCATTGTATGAATTCAGGGATTATTTCACTGAAGGTATTTGTTTCTTTTCCATATTGGACCTTTCTGTAAATCTCTAAGAATATAAAAAATCAAATATCTACCTTTCTGATGCATAATGTTCTATTTTCAATCCAGCTACGTACTTGAAACACTTTTAAATAAACATCTCAGTACCACATCAAAAAAATGGTGGAAAAATAACTTTGCTTATTGTTATAAAGCCAAGTGATGTGAGAAATAGCAAAGTGTAAGGATCAGATGTTGTTGGGTTTCTGCTTGTTTTTTCTGATGAAAAGTTTTGAAAGTCATACGATAATTTAGATATGCATATTGTAAGATTTGGGTATTTGTTTTTATCAAGTTGCTTTGGTTCTTATTGCTTAATGGGAGGCCAAATATTTACTTAAACCTACTTTTTGTAGAAATTCTTGTCTCCTAATAAACTTCAAAAAGGAAATAATAATGTATTAATGCTTAAAACAAGAACACTGGCTTTCAAGGTGTGAATCACCATATGAGGGAAAAATAAACCCAGTGTCTAGTTCTAATACTAGCCTTTAGATTTGTAGTTGAAACAACGAGTGGTATATTATACCAGTTTCTAAATAAAGGTATTATATCCCAGCATGATACTACGATGTTGATTTCACTGAGGTGCAGTGGTATGATTTGGTTGCTAAACCCAAAGATAATTTAAAATAGAGCCTATTTTCATATAAAATTAAAACATTAAAGCCTTAAAAAGTTCAGGATTAATAATAAAGTTAGACTCTGAAGAACATAATACAGAGGAAGGTTCTTGGATGTGAATGGATTAAAGATTTATTGCTTAACACATAGTCATATTTTACTTTGAAAATTCAAACTATAACTTGGAAATATTTACCATACTTTAAAAAATTTTCAACATTTACTATGATTAGAATAAAAAGTTTATGTGTAATTTTTATAAATATTCAATTACATTAACGTGAGTCTTATGTTTTGTATATTTGCCAATGATTAACATAAATGATTTACCTCAGGAATTTATGGATTTTTGTTTGTTTGGCAGTTAGTCCATTATAGATAGGACTTGGGATTTACCTGGAATATATCGTGGCTACACTATGGTCCTCTTAAGATAGATGGTTTTATATAAGGGTTTTTATTTTTAGTAACAGTTTAAGTAAAAGTTAGCTATAATTGAATACTAAGAAAAATAGTATCTAATTGCATTGTCCTTTTATTAATTAAAATGATATTCAGCCTTTGCCAGTTAAGCCAATACTGTGTCTTGCAAATTGTTGATCAGTTTTGGGAGGAACTTTGTAAGCTAGTCAGCAATCCGTAGTAAGCCCTGCAGGAGTGTTGTTTTGAGTGCCCGGGATCAGCAGGTGAAATGGTGCTGGCTTCCAGAGTATGTGCTAATCCAACCTTGCAAAGAGATCAAATCTGTCCCTTTGGTCATTTAATCAGAAATCAATTGAAAGATCAGATATGTGTCTGATAACAAATGCAGTGTTTGCTAAGATTATTAATACTGTGTCTTTCCGTTTTTTAAATTCAAAATTGACCACGTCCGTAGTAGGGAAACAATGAAGAATAACAGGTTGCTGATGAGAAACACCTTCCTGTATGCTTTGTACACATGGCCTCAGTTCAGGTGGCACATATATGGTCAGTTTACTATAGATTCTTTCACTTAGTTGCCTATTAGTTTTGAAATTAAGTTTATTAATATCTTAAAGTGATAATTTGCTTCACAGTTAATACTGAGGGGCTGCTTTATAAAAGTTACTCTCTAAGAGGTATCTGCATAGTTTTAAACAAAATTATGAAGTTGCAAAATGAGAAATGTATTTACATAGATAGTATGATTGCTTATAATTGAATTACATATTTTTAAATTCTATATCTCTCTCAATTTGTGACTAAAATAGAAGGACCACATTGGTGTACAAGTTACGTTATCAGTAAACTACAGTGAGTCATACAACACCTCTTTTCGAATTTGTGTGTTGGATTTCTATCTGACAAAAATGTGTAAATAGTCACCTTTCTAAAAATATTCTTTCTGAAACAAATTGTCTTCAGTCTGGTTAATTTATTGAGTCACTGCCTATTTAATGATATCAAGGACTCAAATCAAGCTTAGTAGAGAGTGTGTAATAAAAAGCTGAGTTTTTAAAAGAAAAAAGATGTTTAGATGAATTTTTTTAAAAGAGAATGCTAGTGCTAAAGATGATAGAAATTGCTAATCGATCCTACCTTCTTACTTAGTAAATGAGGAAACTAAGACACAAAAAATTGTTAGCTGAATACTCTCATAAAGACATAATCATTATGTCTTTAGGGTATTCAGGGAATATCCTTAGGGTATTCACAGTTTTTCTGAGTGAGACTGTAATAGTGATTAAAAAATCTTTAAATAATAGAAGCCTGAGACTTGATCAAATTACCAGATAGTACTTACATGTGTATGTACTGGAGTTTAGATTAGTGAGAAGGCAGAGTAAGTGAAAATGCTTGATTTAAAGAAAATTGGATAACAAATAGGGTCATAGAATGCATTTTAAAATTTTTCAGTGTCCTAAATTTGGAGAAAGGTAATTTTTGATCATTTGTATACCTAATTATGTGATTGATTCTATAAGATTATCTGTATCAGAGTAGAAGGCATAATAATTTCCAATTTTTTTTTTTTATACATTTGTTGCTGGATTAAGAATGTACTTTTGTATTCTCTCTAAGGTTGTTAATGGAAGACCAGGGTCAACTTTGAATTTTTAAGAAGCTAAGAAAATTATACATTTATTTCAAATAAGGAAAATAATGACAAATTTCTGATATTTTTATGTTAATTTAATTGATTGGATGATATATATCATATATATAATATGGTTTTTATTAATAAGTCAGGTAATCATTATGACCCACTTGATTTGTGTTGTTTAAGAATCTTTTTCCAAATAACTGGTAAACTTGAGGAAAGAAAGGAGAGAACTTAGTAGTGCAAATTCTAATTAAAGTTTTTATTTTGGATTGTCAAAGCATCTGAAACTACATAAATACTTTTTACCTCAGGAATAAATGGACAGTTAATTTATAGAAAATGCTCAATGTCAATGGATTACCATGATATCTGTTGTGCTGTCAACAACTGTGACAAATTCTATTACCACATGTGAGATAGTGAGGATGTAAGGGAGGAAGAATTCAATTTTATATCTCAACATTTATTTCTGGAAGTCCAGTCTTCAAG